GCCTGTAATCCCAGCTACTGAGGAGGTTGAGGCAGGAGAATTGCCTGAACCCAGGAGGCGGAGGTTGCGGTGAGCAGAGATTGCGCCATTGCACTCCAGCCTGGGTAACAAGAGTGAAACTCCATCTCAAAAAAAAAAAAAAAAAAAAAAGTACTTTAAAGATGCCTCTCCAGGCCAGGTGCAGTGGCTGACACCTGTAATCGCAGTACTTTGGGAGGCCAAGGCAGGCAGATCACAAGGTCAGGAGTTGAGACCAGCCTGGCCAACACAGTGAAACCCCATCTCTACTAAAAATACAAAAAAAATTAGCCAAGTGTGGTGGCATGCACCTGTAATTTCACCTACTCGGAAGGTTGAGGCAGGAGAATTGCTTGAACCTAAGAGATGGAGGTTGCAGTGAGCCAAGATCATGCCACTGCACTCCAGCCTGGGCAAGAGTGAGACTCCGTCTTGTGGGGGGGAGGGGAGGCGGGAAATTAAAGGAGTCTCTCCATTGTATTTTGATTTACTAAATTTCTGATGAGAAGTCTGCTGTCATTCTTATCTCTGTTACTCTGTACATGATGCGTATTTTTTCTCCACCTGCTTTCAAGATTTTCTCTTTATTATTGGTGGTCAATAATTTGATGATGATGTGCCATAGTGTGGTTACCTTTATGGTTATTCTCCTTGGGATTCTTAAATATGTGGGCTTATACTTTTCATCAAATTTGGAAATTTTCTGGTCATTATTTTTTTACAATCTTTTTTCTGTTCTCCCCTTTCCCTCTTTTCTGGGGCTCCAATTACATATATGTCAGACTGTTTCGATCTGTAACAACTGTCCTTGTTATAGTCATTGATGCGCTATCAATTTTTCCATTTTTCTTTCTGTTCTCATTTTGGACAGCTTCTATTGCTGTCTCGAAGTTCACTGATGTGCAGTGCCTCAACTACTGTTAACGCCATCATTGTACTTTAAAATTTATTTCCAACTCTAGATGTTCTGTTTAGGTCTTTTAAAATATACCTTCTAGTTCTCTTCCCATTATGTTAATCATTTCCTCTGATTTTTGAACTAAGAGCGTATTTGTAATTGCTGTTTTCGTATCTTTTTTTTTTTTTTTTTTTTTGAGACGGAGTTTCGCTCTTGTTGCCCAGGCTGGAGTGCAATGGCGCAATCTCGGCTCACCGCAACCTCCGCCTCCTGGGTTCAGGCAATTCTCCTGCCTCAGCCTCCTGAGTAGCTGGGATTACAGGCATGCGCCACCATGCCCAGCTAATTTTTTGTATTTTTAGTAGAGACGGGGTTTCACCATGTTGACCAGGATGGTCTCGATCTCTTGACCTCGTGATCCACCCGCCTCGGCCTCCCAAAGTGCTGGGATTACAGGCTTGAGCCACCGCGCCCGGCCTACGTATCTTTGTTAATTCCATCATCTCTGTCATTTCTGGATCTAGTTCTGTTGTTCTCCTGATTATGTCACATTTTCCTGTTTTTTTGTATGCCTGGTCATTTTATTGAATGTCTAATATTGTGAGTTTTGTGTATTTCTTTAAATAGCACTGGACTTTGTTCTCACACACAGGTAAGATTCTTTAAATCGGCTGAATCTTCCAAGACTTGCTTTTTCATTGTTAGAGTAGGTCCAGAGTACCCTTTAACTTAGGGCTAATTTAGCCTTATTACAAAAGGCCATGCCCTTTTGATGCCCTTGTATATACTCTGGCTAATGGCAACACAGACTATTCCCAGCGCTGTATGAGTTCCAGGAATCATGTGGCCTGCTCCTTTCCAGTGGGGTTCTTTCTCTGGACTCAGGTGCTCTCCTCTCACTCTTGTGTAGGTCAGGACTCAACCCGACTTCAGGAGACTCCTCCACCTGCCTCTGGAGTTCTGTGTACAACTCCCACCTCTCTGGTACTCAGCCCCACAAATTATGACAGCCTTCCCTCCCTGCCCATCCCCATCTTGTCCTTTCAATTCTGTAAGACACCAGACTTTAATTTCGATTCCCCATCCCTGCTCTGCACCCTGAAAACTCTCTCCAGATAATAAATTGGAGGAACTCAGAACTCAGCAGGTTTGTTTCCCACCTTTCAGTGACCACAGTCTTGTGTTGCCTGTTACCCAGTGCCTACAAATTCCTATTTCATGTATTGTCCAGTTTTCTAGTTGCTTAAAATAACAAGGTAAATCCATTCCTTGTTATTCCATCACTGCTGGACAGAATATTTATTCAAGTAACAGTTTCCCAATTTTGGACCTTGTTGTTGCTGTTTTGAAACAGGGTCTCACTCACACCCAACCTGAAGTGCAGTGGCTCATAACTCACTGCAGCTTCAAAATCCTGGGCTCCAGGCATCCTCCCACCTAGGCCTCCCAAAGCGCTGGGATTACAAGAATGTGTGTGCCATTACGTCCTCAATTTATTATCTAAAGGTTTGGTCTTCATCGAGCACTACCCCCTTATAACACCAAACAATATTTTTCCTCCCTTTTTCTTGGAATTTGCTCTGCTCTTCTTAGCTTGACACTAAATTCTTAATTCTCCTACCTCTTTGGTTATGATTTCTGATTCTTGAATCCTGAAAGTTTTAGGAAAGTTTAGGCAAGTTTCCAAAATCCTATTCTTTTTTTTTTTTTTTTTTTTGAGACAGAGTTTCACTCTTGTTACCCAGGCTGGAGTGCAATGGCGCGATCTCGGCTCACCGCAACCTCCGCCTCCTAGGTTCAGGCAATTCTCCTGCCTCAGCCTCCTGAGTACCTGGGACCAAAATCCTATTCTTGCCACATTTTCTTCTACATCTGAGTAGGACCTCACCTGTGAAATTTCAACAACTCCTACAAACTCATTCATGACCTCTTTTGGGGCTAACTCTTAACAGAAGTACTATGCAACTGGCCTTGGACTTCATTCACCGAGAGGAAAAAAAGGTGAATACAAAATATAATTTCTACATTTTAAAGAGAGTGTGTGTGTGTGTGTCTATATATATGTAAAAAAATGTGTGTGTGTGTGTCTATATATATATATATATATATATATATAGACACACACGTGCGCGCGCACACACACACACATTTTTTTTTTAAGCAGAGTCTTGCTCTGTTACCCAGGCAGTTCTGTGGCGCAATCTTGGCTCACTACAACTTCTGCCTCTGGAGTTCAAGCGATTCTTGTGCCTCAGCCTCTTGAGTAGATGGGACTACAGGCACGTGCCACCATGCCCGGCTCTAATTTTGTATTTTCAGTAGAGACGGGGTTTCATCATTGGCCAGGCTGGTCTCAAACTCCTGGCCTTAAGTGATCTGCTGGCCTCAGCCTCCCAAAGTGCTGAGATTACAGGCGTGAGCCACCATGCTGGCTATATGAATACTTGTATTTTCAGTACACACATGCGCACACGCACACACACACACACACCTATTTTTTAAGTCCCCATTTCTAGCTCATAACTCCAGCTGTTTTTACAGGCCAGAATCTCACACCACTATTTTCAAAAGCAAGTCACATATCCTCCATCTAGAGCCTGTCTTTCTCCCTCTGTGCCAGTTAATGATACCCGGTCCTCCCATAAGCTTCAGAGTCATTTCAACTTATTCTTCTGTTCCCACATCTAGTCAAAAATCCTACTGGAAACAATGAATTTCAGTCCATGAGAAATATTATTATTGCAGAGGGCTCCAGAATAATGATCTCAAAGGAGCACTAAAAAGCTAGCAGAGGCCGGGCGCGGTGGCTTACGCCTGTAATCCCAGCACTTTGGGAGGCCGAGGCGGGTGGATCATGAGGTCAAGAGATCGAGACCACCCTGGTCAACATGGTGAAACCCCGTCTCTACTAAACATACAAAAAATTAGCTGGGCATGGTGGCGCATGCCTGTAGTCCCAGCTGCTCAGGAGGCTGAGGCAGGAGAATTGCCTGAACCCAGGAGGCAGAGGTTGCGGTGAGCCGAGATCGCGCCATTGCACTCCAGCCTGGGTAACAAGAGCGAAACTCCGTCTCA